TTAAAAAGGATAAAAAGGAGAGTTTATTTGAAAAAGGGATAACACTCCACAGACATAATGTGGCCTCCTCTCAGAGGCAGAGAGTAAGTGGAACAGTGAGAGACCATGAGGGACAGATTAAAGGCACTGAAAGGGACTGTGTGTGTTCAGGGAATTCAGTTTATATGTCATTCTTTAGTTCCCATTTCTTTTGATATGGACATATAGTGAAGAAGACGAAGAGTATATAGCTGTGAAAAGGTAAGAATATGTAGAGTGAAAAAGAAGGCAGGCAGTTCCCAGCTTTTAATCTGTAGGTTGTCCATGGTTTTAGCCATAGGGAATGACTCTTATTTCCTGTTTTCCTTTCACAGGTGTGGGGAATGGGCTGTTAACCATCCAGCAGAAATATTCCTTTGTTCTGAAGGTGTGCTCCTGGCCTGGCTGCAGGGCTGATCTACACATTGCAGTCTCTGAATGTGGCTTGATTTAACATTTTAATTCTGTTGCCTCCTCCCTGCATTAGGGATATTAAAAAAAAAAAAAAAAAGCAGAAGCCTGAATATTTAGCCTTTAGTTTGTAAAGTTCTGAAGGTTCTGCTTGGTGAAGGAGAGGTCAGGAAAAAGCTGTAATTAATAGAAGTCTGTTTCTCTTCTCCTCACCATCAATCCCCAACCCCACTCTACTATAGTTTCCAGTGGTTACTTATCACCAGATTACTGAGGAATTTGTCTCCTATAGCCAAGGTGGCATGGGTCATGCCATGTCACCAAAACTTCCCTGTCCCCCTCTGTGGCCAGACACTACAACTCTGAAGGTCTTTGAAACTCTTTGGATTGGTAAGAGAGGTCCACAAGAAATCTTCAACTCTTCAGTCTGGGCCTTCCTAGCTGGTTCTGAGTTGCTTACTCTTGTCTTATTGCCCTTACATCTGTGCCCTAGTTCAGTGTGCTATGTGCTGTGTGCTGGAACAGTAGGGGGAAATAGGCCACAATGTATTACTATCCAGGTGTAGTGTGTAGACTGGCTACCTGACACATCAGAGCCCATTCCCACTACTTCATCAAGGAAGTGGCTGTGTTTGGCCAGGCCTGGTGCACTGAGTGCTCAGCATCCATTAGGCCCCCAGGATCTGAGGAAAGGGCTGGGGAATGGAGACTGCAGGGAATTGGGGTGGCTCTGACAGTAAATCCCTGCTTTCGAGAAGAGAAGTTTTGCAGTGTATTTTATACATTAGATTCTAAGGAAAAGAGATAAGGAAGAGTCATTGATGGGAGAGTAAGGAGGTGGGAGAAAACAAAGTAGGGAAATATCTGAGATTAGATAAAAAGTAAAATGGAGGGACACATACTTTTACATTGGTGGGTATAGGAGCATTAATAATTAACACCACATAGAATAGGTATGTGGGGGACAACATAACTATGAGGGTTTCTGTGGTCTCTGCTCCGGTAGATGGATTCTGCTTGTGGGGTCAAGACAAAAAAGGGATTACTCTGATACATTATCTTACATGCAAACAGACTACAGGTGGGCTCACTCAAGGTAAAGACTGACCTTTGTCAATAAAGCTGCAGACCCAGGATGTGACTACCCATCATGATCTGCTTTAGTTTATAATTTTTATGTTAACACCATCATATGTGGTTAATTTTGGTCTCTGAATTTGTAGGGCCTCTTTTGACCTTGTCAAGTTTAGTATATGGACCTTTTTTGGCCCACATAGCATAAAACGGAGCCAGAGTTGCCTGCATTGAGAGAGGCTCTCACATCTCTCAAGTTAGAATTCATGGGTTTTCTCCAACCTGAAAGCTTATGCAGTCACAGCAATCTTCGCCAGTTATTTAATATTTCTATATGACTTCCTCTGTCAGTTGTGACTCTTCTTTTCACAAAATCAGAATAAATAGGTGTGCAAAAGCACACAAAACTCTACACTCCATGGGAGTACTGGTATCTCAGGACTGCTTAATACCAGGTGCCCATTGTCTCCCTGCTTCACTCAAGGTTATGGACCCAGCCCAGACAAAATCTTGAAGTATACTAGGAAGAGGAACATACATTGCTAAGGCACCGAAAACCCCTATTCTCATTCCACATTGGAACTACACCTAATCACAGAAATTCCCACCCATACAAGGACTAATCCTGTTGTCCTTCCAGGTTCATAAAATTTTTCCAGCATGGACACAGGGTCTGCCTGCATTAATGCTTTAAAATTGTTTTCCCAGAAATAAATCAGATAAACAAATGTTTTTTAAAATCTCTACAGTTTCCAGACTGTGGAAAGAGCTGCCTAAAATGTGGTTTGCTGAGGCTACTTCAGCAAGACTATGGTATGGATGGATCGCAAGCAAGAAGATTTCAGAATGATTCAGTATTTACTAAATGACATTGACCTTTAAGACAGATAGGGGCAGAAGGAGTCCAGTTTTACCTGTATTTACCTAACTTAATTCAATGAAAAATAATAGTGAAGAAGAACCCAAATGGAACCCCCATAGCGGAGGTGTCACCGGGTCCTGGCCTCACCTTTCATTACCCTATAACTTAACAATAGATTGTCCCCAGCTGTTTGGAACGTCCTCTGCCATAGAAAGTAGCCTAGAAACTTATATTTAATGTTGTCATGCTTACTGATCACAATCCTCTGGTCTAGCATTCTTTCCAGAGTACTCCCATCTTTGTTCCTGGGTTGCTAATGCCACCAGAGGACCACGTTGCCAGAGGGAAGTTTCCACAAAGCACTACAAACTACCCCCTACTCCCCTCCACTTCCTCACGTCCCCCTCACCACCAACCGTCATGCAGCCTCTGGAATAATGCCCAGATTGTCCCTTAAATATCCCAAGCCAGAATGAGAATGTAAGGCAGTTTTTGAAGGTATTAACCTAATGCCTTTTCAGATCACCAATGCTCTGACAATAAACACTTATTCTAAATAGCCCAATTCCTGTATCAGCCTACTGCCTGAGCAGCACAGGCAGCAACAGCCCAGGACCGAGTAGCCCTCCAGTTTCACTAGCTTCCTGAATTTATGTGGGAAGATGCTAATCTGTAATATGAGAATAATTACTCCAACCTGCAGACTTCAGTGGATTTCTGATGACCAAAAGATAGAATAATGTTAAAGCACTTTGTAAACAAGGCCTAACCTTTTACTTCACTATGATCAATGTTTAGTCTACCTGGAAAAAGCAGTGATTTAGTGATTAAAAAAAAATTAAAAGCTCTTTTGCAAATTCATGTCAAAAAGTAAAAGATAAAGAGAATCCAAAGCAACCTAATATTTTGAACTTCTTCTTATTTTTGTTTCTCAAGTAACATGAGAACTTTCCAAATGTTATAAGGACATCAGGATTAAACAGATTCCCAAAGTCTTCAATGGAAAATTAATGTTTAGAGCATATTCTTCCGGGTTGTTATATTC